GGCCAGGGCCGCACGCACACACGCAGACCCGCGAGGGCGAGCCGGGCAGAGCCTTCAAAGACGGCCGGCCCTGGCTGTGGCATGCGTGCTGTGGGTTTGCCACCACTGCTAGGCACTCAATAAATGCTGGTGGTTGTGTCCATAGGTCCTAGCCGGACACTGTCCCCACCAGGGCTGTTGGTTGGCCAGGAGGCTGCTCCGCCTCAGTCAGAAAGCAGCGCAGATCGGCTCCTGCCTCAGCCCGTGCGGAGGTGGGGTTGGATCCCCCTCCCACTCCCACTCCCGGCTGCTGTGCTGTGTCCCTGTGTCCCGGCCCTGGTCCACGAGTGCCCTGTCACACGTGTGCTCGCTCGGATTGTCCCCAGAGTGCCCGGGCCCGGAGCGCCCCCTTTGGGCGGCAAGAGCTGTGGGGTCCTCCCACCCCTGCCACGCTCGGTGCCCCTTCTGCACTGCGGTTAGTGTGAAGGAGACAGAACTCAGAGGCTGCCTTCTGCCTGCCAGGCGTCCCCTCCTGCGCGGTCACCGCTCGTGGAGGCCCTGTGGACGGCAGCCCCTCCGGAGCTGCCCAGCTCTGCGCCTGGGCGCCAGGCGGGAGGTTTGGCTGCACGGTGCAGCTGCGTGATTGCCTGGTGTGTCAGGAGCACATGTGTCAGGAGTCTGGTGGCGCGCGCGCACACACACACACACACACACACACACACACACACGCAGCTGGTGTCCTTGGCGGCCATTTAGTTAGTGCCACAAACCGTGAGCACCAGAAGGTGTTAGGAAAGCCAGCTCAGCCGCGTGGGCGGCCCTTCTCTGGGTGGCTAGGTCTCCAAGTATGATTCTTACAACCTGCAGTTCCCACAACCGCGGATCTGTGCTCCCGACGATAATCATGGGAAACAGAGCAGGCACGGAGCCGTCCCAGCCCTCCCAGCCTTCCAGACATGCCTGGGGTGAGCTGAGAAAGTGTGGGTCCTGGGACCCCCCCCCCACATGCCCAGGCGGGGTCTTGGCCCAGGTTTGGGGGACCGTGTAGCACAGGCATCTCACAAGCCCCCCGGGTCATTGTTGTCGCAGACCCAGCTCGCTCGCCCCAGGCCTCACAGTGCGGCAGCAGCAGCAGGTGCCCGCCTGCAGGGCCTCCGCCTGCGTCCCCCTCCTGAGCGGTTGGGAAGCAGCTGGGAGGAGCTCCAGTGCGTTCTGCAACAGCCAAGCCAGACCCCAATGTTGGACGTGCTTAGCTCGAGCTCCTCCTGGAGAAGCGGGCTTGGGTCCCTCGCAGTGGGGGATCGGTGCTGCCTGTTGTGTCGCCTGCTTGCTCTGCACAGAGTGGGGACCTCTCACAGAGGGGTGTCCTGTGCCTGGGACTTTGTGGTGACATCGTCATGGCTGCGATGGGCTTAAGCATCCGTCCTGTAAAGCCGGTCGTGCGTGTCCTCCTTGCACTGTGCTGAGGCCTCAGGAGTCAGGGCAGCAGAAAGCACTCAGAGGCAGAGAGGTCTCCCCCGCGGGAGGGCTACGCGGACAGGCAAAGGGCTTGGGGTGCTCAGCTCCGCAGCGGGAATCCTCACCCTCGGAGACGCAGCCGCTGTGCCGTGCAGCCTGCCCTCTCACGCGGCCGCAGTGTCCTGGGCCCGGCTTGCAGTTTGTGCCTGGCACAGTCCTGGTCCGCACGCACACTGGCTGGCTCTGTTCCTTGCTGTTTGAACCACTCGCTGTTTACGTAAACACCCAGAATCAAACTGCAGGAAAAAGCACAGGAAATACAGCATCGAGCCAGGCCCAGGTTCACCTCTCAGGGGCGTTGGGCTGTGGGCTTCCCGGGGTCCTCTCGGATGGACGGTCTTACCAGGGGCAGCCTGAGCCCCCCGCTCAGCTCTGCCCAGCTCAGGGAGGGACCTGACTGCACCAGTCACTGCGCCTGGCGTTGGCAGAACACACCGCTGTGCCCAGGGTCCTGGCTCTGGAACAAAGGGCCATGGGCATCGGCGTCCAGATGCCACCCACCTGTTGCCTGTGGTTTCTATGGGCTGGGGGGCTGGGGTCTCCCAAGACTGCTGTCCTAGGTGGGTAGATCTGACCCCCTGTAAGGTCATCCTGAGTGGCTGCTGGTGCAGTTCAGTCTCTGCAGGGCCCAGGCCGCCCCTCCCTTGCTGGCGCCAAAAGCCACAGCGGCCCGCAGGCTACTCGTGAGGCCCCTGTGAGGTGGGTGGCTTCCTGGGGAAGGGCTCCTGGGGCCACAGCCTGGCCTTTGCCTTTGCCTGCTGGGGAAACAGGTCCCGGGTCCCTCCCATGCTGATCAGCCAGCCCAGGGCAGGTCTGCACAGAGCCGCAGCAGGCTGGACCGTCAGGACTGATGTGGGACCGGGGTTCTGGGAGAGCTGAGCAGAGCCTGGGTTCTTCGGTCTTGAGGGAGGAGGAGTAGGTGGCGGGGCCGAGGGTGGACGGTCCAGGGTGATGCCCTTCACCTGCCTGTCCTGGGGCTGGAGATGGCCGAGCATCCTGAGGGTGCCATCCCTGGCATCTTCTCATGGGTTCTCCAGGGTGCTTGGAAGGCGGAGTAGAGGTCCCAGCACGTCGGCAGCCAGCTCAGCTGTGCCCAGGTGGGGCTAGCTGGTCATCTCTGTGTGTTGTCCTCCCTGGTCAGCAGAGGACAGGGTCCTCGACACACACGTCTCTCTGCACAGACCTCTGCCTGGTGGGTGACTCAGGGGTTGCGTGTCGTCTCCGAGCCCAGGGAGCGGTGTGGACCGTTCAGAGGAGCATTCTCCCCGGCCATGAGTGGCTTTCCCCTGCTCTCCTGGGCTTCTCACTGGTCACAGGGTGCCCCCGGTGCCCCTGGTGCCCCCCACCCCGATCCTTTTGCTCTGTCGAGGGCTTTTTCCTTCAGATTCCCTTGCTAGGAGACAGAAAGGAATACTTTGTCATGACCTGTTCCTACAAACTCTGTCATTCAGGTTTTTGTCGTAAAATGACACTCAGGGCCTTGGGTTTCGGCCAAAGTCCTCACATTAGATAAATCAAAGGTATGAGCAGCATCGTAAAAGAATACACCCCCGCTATCACCTCTCAAATAATTTTAATACGAATACTGGTCTGCCATGAGCTGGGAATACATATGTTATGTTTTTATTATGAGAAGAACACCAATTTACTCTAAAGTGTATACATAATACATAAAAACATAATTCTGCATCATAAATACTGCTGTTTATATTGCTGGCTGTAAAAGGCGTTCAATGTTTAATTAACAATAATTTTGGGAATGTGTGGGCATTGCTTTTAGGCAGCACAGCGCTGTACATCAACCCAGCACCTCCCTGGGGTTTACGTGGGCCTTGGGGGCCGGGGTCCCCCTAGCTGAGCCTGTGTAGCCTCTGCCCTGAGCTCCTCCCTTATAAACTCATGTAATCCTTTCCACACCGGGAAGCAGCGGCTGTCAGTATCCCGACAGCCGAGGACCGGGGCTCACGGGGACCCCTGTCCTCCCAGGGGCGGTGGCAGGCGGGGTAGACCGGCTCCTGGCTCAGCGCTCGACTGGCGGCTGATGGGCAGGAGGGTGAATAATGAATGCTCCCGTCCTCTCCCTGAATGCTCTTTAATACCAAACTAATTCTAATGTCCCTAATTAGGGAGGGCTTTGATATCAGAACTGGTCGGCAGGAGCCTTCTCATCACGGCTCCCCGTCTGAGAGCATCAATAAATAACGAGCGGGGCAGAGCGATGGCCCGTGGCGCAGTGCGGGCCCGGGGGAGGGAGGGAGGGCTCCACGCCGTGCCACCCCTCCACCCTTCCCCGGCGGCTGTGGATCGAGCTGCTCACCACCCTTCACAGACGGGTGCTTGCAGCACCACAGCTGAGCGAGGCTGTGCGGGGGCATCCGAACCCAGACCCGACCTCGGAGCCCAAGCGCCCTGCCCCAGGTGCTGCGGGACCGCACAGCCGAGGTGCTCCGGTCCTGTGCCTCGCGCCAGGCCTAAGCCCCGAGAAGGACGCTTGTCGGACCTCAGGCTGCGGTCGGCAAAGAGGGAGACGTCTAGAATCTTGAGTCATCTGCGAGAAAGCAATGGATTTTGTCGATCTAGGGAAGGAAAGGGAGGGAAGTGTAATTGAGGGCACTGGAACGTTCCGCAGAGATCATTCCAGCGTGTGTATGTGTGCGCGCACGTTTGTGCGTGCAGATCTGTGTTTCTGTACACGTATGCATGAGCAAGTGAGCGTAAGTATGCACATAGATGTGAGAGTTTGTGTATGTGAGTATGTGCCTGTGTGTGGGTGTGTGCCTCTATGTGCTCACGTCTGCGTATGTGTGTACATGTGCAGATACGTGTTATGGATGTGTGTGCACTCGTCTGTGTGTACACACTTCTGCATCATTTCTTCATCCCAACCCTTGTATTGGTGCCTACCCTTGTCAGCCAGCTGTGCAGTTGCTGGATGCAAACCCTCACAGCTACAACTTCAAGGAGAGATTTATTTATTTATATTTTTATTTATCCTTAAAATGGGTCAAGAATTATTTATTTATTTATTTATGTAGACACAGGGTCTTGTTATGTAGTCCACACTGGCCTAAAATTCTGACTATCGGGAGAGGTGTATTTGGCTCAGTGCTCCAGGGGGTGCAGTCCATGGTTGGCTGCTCCAAGGCAGGAGCATCATGGTAGAAAAGCATGGGGGAGCAGAGCTGCTCAGCTCATGGGGGCTGTGAAGCAGAGCAGGGGAGCAGTGCCAGTGAGGAAGGACCAGGGCCTGAGTGTCGTGCCCAAGGTCACACCTGCACGACACACTTAGACCCTGCTTTCCTAACGTGCCAGGCCTTCTTAATCCAGGAAGTTGCCAAGTCAGGAGCAGCCATCACCCCCCACCCAGCCCTTTTCTTGGGAAGGGGAGAAAGGCAGAGAGGGAGGAGACCAGGAGCTGTGCAGACCCCGGCTTTTGCTTGCACTTGTCAGGCCCCCTCCACCAACTGCGTCTGTCCCTTTCTCCTGCACTTCCTTCTCTGCAGGAGTTCGTGTGCCTGGCCAAGAGACTAGTGCGTGACCCTGTGCTGGAGAAAGCGCTTGTGGCCAACGGAAGGGACTACGTGAGCAGGCGGCACTCCTGGGCAGTGGAGAGAGACACCTACCAGCACCTCGTTGAGAAGCTCGAGGGGCACGTGGAGGAGTGAGGGGGCCATGCGGGCAGCCCCTGGGGACAGCGAGTCCACGCCCTCCCTCCTGTGCACACCTGCACCCTGGAGGTGTCAGCCTAGCCTGCTGCTGGAGGTGCTCGGGCTGGGCCAGGCGGGTGGGAGCCGCTTCACTTCTGGGGAGACCTGGGCTACTGTAGCTCAGACCCCGGCCCTGTCTCTGGGTGACCGGCACCCACCATGCCAGCTCCATCAGCAGAAGCCGCACTCGGGGAGAGGCTGCAGAGGGGAACCACGGACAAGTGCCCCGCAGGTCACCGACCTCAGCCTTGTGGAGGGCCGAGCGCGGCACTCCAGGGGACGCTGGTCCTGTGAGTGGCGAGTGCCGTGGCCCCTGCCTCTCGAGATTCAGGGCTGGCAGGGGAAGTGCCCTGGTACCGGTTTTGTTCAGACTCGGGGAGCCGGGAGAGGCGAGGCCCAGGGCACCCTTCCATGGGGCGACTTCTTGCTTCTACCTCATTCTGACAACGCAGCAGAACCAGCATCTTGCTTTTAGAGGAGCAGCCTCCAGTCACCCCTGGATCTTGGATGTCTTGGGGAGCAGGCACTCTGGATTCCATACCATGCAGCCCTCGTCCTGCACTGGGGTTGGGGATGGTTGCCTTCCAGGAAGGTGAGCACAGGCCTCACTCCTCCTGGCAGGGTGATGCTCCTTCCTCTCGTGGCTTCAGGGCTGGCACAGGAGGGAGGCACAGGGCCTCGGTCCTAGGAGGTGGCTCCTGAGTCTGGAGTCGCCAAGGCCACCCTAAGAGGAGCTGCTGCTAAGCCAGTGTCACTGGGACCCCACCCCCATGCTGCTGTTGTTTATCTCCCAGAGGACGGGACAGCGGCTGAGCTCACCATGCCTGGCGGCATTGCTGGCTGCCTCCTTTATGAAACCTGCACATGCCCAGTGCAGTCCCTGGAAGCGCAGGGTGGAGGTGAATAAAGGGTGTCTCTGTGCGCTCATAGAAGTTGCCCTTATTCCTGCAGGAAGCAGCCTCTGCCAGGGTGGGCCCCCGCCCGCCCGGCCTGTGCCAAAGAGGAGGAGGCAGAGGCTGGGAGTCTCTGAGGGGCTACAGGGCTGCTGAGTGTCCTTGCTGCGTGAGCACCAGCGGCTGTGGCAGGGCTGAGGGTCCTGTACTGTGGCTCACAGTGGGGAGGTCCCACCCAGAATGGGGACCCCCTGAGAAAGAGGGGAGCCTCAGGTCCACAGGCCCCCTCCAGGGTATATCCCCAGGAAGACGCCCCAGGCTCTCTCCTAAAGGCTCCGGCCCCTCAGTAGCACCACCCAAGGGGCCTGAGGCTTTACCTCCAGGCCTTTGGGTGACATTCAAGGTCCAAACTGAGCCAGGCCTGCTAGTGCACGCCTATAACCCTAGCGCTCTGGGAGGTTGAGGCAGGGGGGTTGCAGGTCTGAGCCCAGCCTTAATGAGATCCTGTCTCCAAATAAATAAATTGATAAATAAAAATTTTTGAAGAAGAAAAGTGCTGGAGACTCAGTTAAATGAGAAGGCCCTGAGTATTGCAAGGCTGCCCTGTAAGTCCTTTATACAGTTGTGTGTATCCTTTATACTAACTCTGTCCCTGTAGTGAATCTCAGCTGGTAGACCTAGTGAGTAAAACTTATCATAATTAATCAAAGAAAATTTTACCTTTCTCTGAGACAGGGTCTCACTAGGTATCCCATGGTAGCCTTGAACTCTTGGAGCTCCTCCTGCCTCAGCCTCCTGTGTGCTAGGATTACAGGTGAGAGCTACCATACCCAGCTAATACGTTTAAATAGCAATTAACAGTGCGTTTGAGCCAAACAGGACTAAATTGAACAATTATCAATTCTGTATACTAATTAAAAGCAAAATCAAGATGACTGAATTAGAAAAAGAAAAAAAAAAAAGATCCAGACTGTAGCACAAAGCTGTGTAAGGGGTGCTTCCCACAGCCTTCTAGGTGGTCTCCGCGCTGTCTCAACCCAGTGGCTAGCACAGGGGAGGTCTGGGCCGGAGGAGCCCACCTGCAGCCCTGTTGACCGCCTCGGCCCCATGGGATGGAGCTGAGTAGGGACATGATCCCACGGAAAGAGGCCATTCCACAAAGAGGCTGGATTGTGCTTTTGTACTGAGAAACGAGTCCCACAGTTGAGAAATTAGGTCTGATCTGTTTAACCAAATCTAGGTACCCAGGCATAGTTGAAATAACGGGGGTAGTGCCAAGAAATATTTCTCTCTCTCTCTCTCTCTCTCTCTCTCTCTCTCTCTCTCTCTCACACACACACACACACACACACACACACACACACATGCACACGCAGACTGCCAGGACCAGGCTGAGCATCCGCCCCGGTGGCACTTCTTCGTCCAGCCGCCACCCCGCCGTCTGCTCGGCCGCTGCCTCCTTCCCTCCGGCTTCACGCTGCCTGCAGTCCGTTCTCTGCAGCACGCACACGGAGGCGTCGTTACTTCCGGCCCTTTCCCAGCATTTCCCATCTTATTCTCCAGCACACTGGAGCGGATTCGCATTTAAACACTGGGGACGATTCTTACCATCGTAAGGATCAACCCGACCCGGGTTCGGAGCAGGGAGCTCAGCAGGGTTGCTGCGGTTAGGGCGAGAAGTCCAAAATAAACGGTGGTCTAAGCAAGAGAGAGGGGCTTGTAGCCCCCAATTTGAGAGAGCCGCTGCCTGTCAGCTTCTCATCGCTGGCACCAAACACCCACCCCTTTCCCCGGTTGTGGAGGATTCAGACCGCCCTTGACTGCTCCGAGTTGGGACAGAGTGGAGGGGCCCGCGGAGGAACTCGGCTCACGCTATGGTGGCCAGGAAGCAGCGAGGGAAGGGAGGAGCCCGGAGAAGCCCCACCCAACCACGCCCAGGCCCTGCCTCCTCAGCCAGACCACACCCCTCCATGAGGCCCCGCCCCTCTACCAGGTACCACCTCCACCAGGCCCCGCCCCCTCCACAAGGCCCCGCCTCCTCACAGCACGTTCCAGGGTGGGTTCATCAGGGTATGAATTAATGAATGTGGACCCTGACCCCGTCACCTTCTGAGGTTTGTATTTTTTTTTTTTTTTTGGTTTTTCTCTGGTACCGGGAACCGAACTCACGACCTTGTGCTTGCCAAGCAGGTGCTTTGCCGCTGAGCTAAATCCCCAGCCCCCCGTCACCTTCTGAACACAGGAGGCTCTGGGGGACATCTGGCTCTGAAGCGTGACATCATCTAAGCCCTGTCGCCTCCCACGGGGTCTGAGATCTACCGTCCTGCTCCTCTTCCTCCTCAGCACGTGGCTCTAATCCAAGGTCCACCATGGTGCACCATCCCAGAAACAAGCTGTGAGGCAGAAGAGGGCCGTCTTCTCCTCGCAGGGCATTCCCACCTGCACTTACCTCCCGTGACACCCCTGGCTGCAGGGAAGGTTACACATAGTGGCTTTGTTCCAAGCATGGGCCCAGTGGAACATCAGGATCTGTCACAGAAAGGCGGGCGGATGCGCGTTTGGGGTGGCCCATGCTGGTCGTGCTCTTGAGATAAGCTGGTTTCAGATGCTGGCTGTGGTCACTGGCATCCCATCTGGTATTCATCACTGATAGCTTTTAATGCCAAGAATGGTGTTTCCTTTGCGTTTTGATTTAGCCTCGAAGATCACCATGACACAGGTTGCCTTTCTTCTCCATATACTTATTTATACTTCAAGTTCCTACCTGCTCATCGTATTGCTACCTCACAGCTGTGGGTTCCCAAGAAGCCTCAGTGTAACAGGGCCCGTGAAATGGACAGGCTGATGAGGTGTGGACAGTTGCGTCTCTCCGTGGTGAGTGGCAGTGAGCCCATGGCACACACGTTAGCTGTTTTCCTTTCAAGACGAGATGTTAACATATGAGCTGTTTTTCATAAATGCAAACCTCAGTATTCTGGTTTAATGGCCCTGCTGGTGCTGTGCCATGCCTTAGTGGGCTCTGGGTTGCAGTTTGGGCCTCATCTCTAAAAGGTTCACCACCACTGACTGGCCCAGATGTCTTGGCGGCTGTCCAGGTGAGTGAGTGCACGGTGTTGCCCATGGGGCATGGACGTCTTTTCTGAAAGGGCCAACAGTGAGAGTCTGACTAACTCAGACGGCTGATATGCATTAAAAACCAGACTCAGTGGAACTCAGCTGGTGCAGAGTTTAGGCCCCAGAGGCGGTGTGGGAGAGAACGTCTGGCAGAATCAGCACTGTCCTCGGCTGATGGAGACCACTACGAAGTGGCTCTGAGCAGGATTTAGTATTAACCAGCTGGCTTTCCGTGTTTACCTGTGAGTTGTCTGAAGCTTAGGCACCTTGCCTGGAGGTGGGCGGCGGACTCATAGTAAGTGAACCTCTGGGAGTCACTGGTCACCCTGAGGCCTGCATTGGCCTGTGGAGCTGTGGTGCTTCAAAGCACAAGGCCGCGGCTGAGGACCTTTGGCTCCCACCCCAGTTAACTACAAGGAGACTGCAGCTGCAGGCATCTCACTCCTACAATAAATGCCAGCCTAAAGATAAGGTAGCTCTCCTGATCGACATAATTTACTATTGGGGAAAATTTCTCCAAAGGTTCTGCCCAGATTTCCGCATTTTTTTCAGTATTCCCCTCCTTTGTTTGAAAACCTAATAAATACAGACTGCCCAGAGAAGTTCTTTGTCTTAACCCAGAGAATTGCGAATTCTGTTAGAGGATTTGGAACCTCCTGGGGCCCTGAAATCATTTCCATTGTCTTATTTAAACCTTCACCATGCACTTGTTTGGGAGAGTTCGGGCCTGATCAGCCCGCAGTAGCTAAGAGACGTTATTAACCCGACACTCGGTACTGTCCACAGCAGAACAAGCCTGATTGTATACACAGCCCCACCTGGTGCACCGTCCTGCACACAAGATTTTGGATCTCTCTGCTCCATTCTTCTCCTCCCTGCTTGGCTGTCCAGCTGCTCTGCTGTGAGATGCGGAGTTGGGTCTCCAGCAGGAGGGTGCAGAGAGTGCTGTTCTCCAGGGCTGACTTCATCCTGTGTCCAGAGGGTCTGGGTCACCATCTGCCTGGATGCGCTGGGTGAGGCCCCACTCTTGGGGCTGTGGGTGCAGCTGCCAGCCAAGCAGTGATCCCCTTGGAAGGCTGGCCTTTGGGGGAGTCCCAGCGGCGCAGGCACGAGTGGATGCTTCTGACCGAGACCAAAGGAGTTAAGGTCCCAGACCAGGCTGGAGAACACAACCTTCGGGGACAGGAAGCCCCGACAGTCTCTGGAGGAAACCATCACCCCAGATGCCACGTGGATTTTCTGAGGGCTCCCCAGCCCCTCCATAGGAGCTTTGGGTGAAAATGAACACAAAGAAGGAATGCCTGGGGTGGGGGTGAGCAACAGTGGAAAGAAAAGACATCATTTGCAACCTGGGTTACAGTGAGTGTTTTACAGCCTACGTCTCCTTTAAGACCTGAAGGTAGTCCTTAGAATCCAGGCAGAGGCAAACATCTTTGAGAAAAAAATTATCTGACTCTGCTCCATTACCAAAGCTTTGTCCCTAACAAAGAAAAGCCATCAACGCCGTCCCAGCCCTGCTGGAGTGGCCGGAAGCCTCAACCCTCAGACAGACTCGCTCTGTCACCACCTGGAACCCACCTTACCTTCCGTGTTTGCAGAAATCACTCAACTTCAGAATTATCCTGAAAAAGGTAGCATGCAAAGTCTAAGGCTGTGCCAGACCTCACTTCCTGTGCTGTCTGCCGTGGCCCCAGGCCCACGTGAGGCTCTGTCACGTGCACGGCTGCCACGCGTGTGCTGACTTATACTACAGCTGTGAGTCTGACTCAGTCGCCACCGAACGGGGCCCCCGCTCCAGTTCCGCGCCCCACAGCCGAGGTGGACGGAAGCCCCACTGCACTGAGGTGTCCTGCTGGGCGCTGGCAGCGTGGAATTCCCCCATCTGCACCCTGGCACGCGGGGAAGCTTCCCGAATGCTTCATTCC